CGGGACGCCTCCGACACCCGAGCTTAACACACAACTTTCACACTCTAATTTACGTACCATTTTCCTGAAATCGACTGACAGCAGCTAGCGACCATTGCGTATAACGTGATTAAAACACCTTTATATTTACAGCTAATATTAATAACTTATATATATATATATATAATTTCTATAGAAACTACATGTGCAAATTGACTTGGAATCATTATTATAACTGATCGTATAATTAATAACATAATTGTAGAGTATTTAATGAGTATTATTATACAATAAATTCATACTTCAAATCAGTGCATAAATGTTTTCGATATTTCAACTTATAATGAATGGAAGAATAAAAACGACGCAATTCCACATCCTAACCACACATACATATGCGGAAAATACGTCGTGCACGATACGCTAACACACTGTCAGTCGCTGAGAAATTTTTTATAAAATTACAAACTATGGTCATCGTGCCCAATGTCTTTCACCCACCCAAGTAGCACCTGGGCACGTGAGTGAGATCCTGACAATGAACACGGAAGGGGTTAAACCTGAAAATCCTGAACTAAAAAAATAATTAGTTTATGTAATTTACATCTAACGGACTATTGCATTATTTTATTTCAAACTGTAATGACTCTGGGCTTTCAGAAATTATTGAAATTGCATGAGAATAAAGAGAATAAAAACAAAGAATTGAATTTATTAAAAAAGATATGAAATCTAACAGTTAACTAAAACAATCCAAATCAAACAATTGACTCTACATTAAATATTAACAGAAACAATCTCAGGCGGTTTCTTCATCAAAGCACATTTTCGAAAATACAAAAGCTGTGTTTAAATTTGTTGCCTTGATTCAAAAATCTACCTGTCGCGAAGTACCTTCTTGCACATAAAATTTTATATATCTTTCTATGGAAGGAGTTCTAATCTATCATATATTTCAAATTGCATTGAAGTTCATAATTATAAAATTAAACTAATTAAATCGTTTGATATAAAAGTTATATATTATAAAATGGAAGATGAACTTGAAAGTTATTAAGTATTACATTAATTAGTAATTACTATAACAAAATATATTACTAATATATCAATAATTAATAACTGCATCGTTCATAGCAACGAAGTCGGATGGTATCCGTCTTCTCTGCTACGAAATGCTTAAACGAAATCATTTTAATAAGAATCATTTATAATTTGTCTATTCATATGGATATGGATGCTTTTGCAAACATTTATACTGAATATATTTTGATTTTACACGTAATTGCTGTAACTATATATATTCAAACTCATTGTTAGAATCGCGATGTGCAAGAAGCCCTATCCTGATCTAATACATGAAAAACTTGAAAGAAATATGAAAAATACCCGCGGTCACTATGCTCATCAAAAATTTCTACGTATACAACCAGTCACCCGTGCCGATTCGGACCTTTCGTCCTACGACATGATTGAATGACCGGAGGGACATAAATGCATGCGACTCACGCGATAGATGCGAAGAACGTTGTCATCGATGCTGCACTGGACCAAGGAAAGTCGTTGTGAAGATCCTCATCGAGCAGATACCACTGAGAATCCCATGGTGGAAATGAACGCCAATAAAAAATTTCTTGAAAAGCACAAAGGCACAGTCTTATTTGCAGAAATTTAAATTTCAATAATGACAAAAAATTTAATACTGATAAACACTCTAATAGTTTGAAATGTTTTTATTTTATAGTTATAATTTTACATTGTAAGAGATTTTACATTATAATTTTCAATGGAAAGAGTACTCTAGAGAATAGAATTAATTCACAATGTGCTAAAGTACTTACATTTTTTGTTTCTGAAGCATCGTAAAATTCTCAGGGGACTAGGGGAATTGAAAACTGTAGAGAATCTGTAAAAACATACATAAAACATTAGAATTTGTATTTAAATGCAAAGATGAATCTCAAGTTCGAGATAATAAAAGATTCTTACATTCTTGGCTTTGGAGCTAGCGTTGAATTTTCCTCAAAATATCCCAGAAAGTTGATGCTGTTAAGCGTCTGTAACAAAACGTCAAACATTATACTATGTTATCAAATTCGGAAATTTGAGTAAACTAAAGTAGAATATATAAAATTACTTACGATTATGACCTCCTGTAGAGGCCTTATCCTCTTGAGCACTGACACTAATATACCGAAAAAGAATGTTGAACAAAGAAAATATAAAAAAAGAAAAAATAAAAGACTATCAATGCACGCGTTTAAGATGCAATCGGCGAACTCACTGACTCTAACTTCTGGAATTATAATTTAAATAAATTAATAATCTAATTTAATGAGAGCCATTTTGCTCAGAAAAACATTAACATATTGCGCAACAAACACTGACTCTATCGACCACATTGCGCGTGGTCACAAAAATTTTCTGAAAACAAATAATTTTCTAATTAGAAAAAGAAGGGCATAGAGTACGTCCATTTAGAAAATATTACTGTTTTTCCAGAAAATGATTATAAACTTGAATATGCGCTAAAAATATTAGCTGGAAATTACAAAGTATTTCTCAATACTTGCAGAAATTGTATTCTGAATGAGAATAGTAAGATGCCGCGTCACGTAATATAAATATTCGAAAATGATTGCACGAATTAAAATTTATAGCTAAATGTATTTAAAAAATCATGGCGTCAGCGCTCGCAAAAGGTCTATTCTAGCAAAATATAGTACAGTAAAGTACGAAAATTTTGGATTTAATAATCTGATACAAGAATATATATCCATTTGCAAGTATATACCATTAAGCTACTATGATCTCCATATTCAAAATAAAATATTAATTTATTTAATCTTTTCCATTTTCATCCTTATATCTTTATATAATTACGAAATTACGTATTGCGAATTGTATTTTAAATATATGTAAATTATATAGCAAATGTTACTTGGAGTGAATAAAATGTTACCAATTTTCCGTGAAAGTTCATCAGATTGTTCATATCACATTTGATTTGATTGTTCATTTCATTCATATCCTGCATTTGAGAAAGTAGTAGGGGGTGGGGTGATCTGGTCCGAATAGGCACGATAAGTAAGACGAACATAAATACTGTGTTCCTGTTGTTGTTTTTTACTTCGAATTTTGTGCTCCAAAGTCTTCTACGCTTTACTTTGTTTGAGAACTGGAAAATTTCATATATTACGAACTAAAATTATTAGTTTAACTATTAAATACGTACATTTTTTATAAATTATTATTGAATTTATTGTAATTGTTAAGAATTACGCAGAATTATGAAATTAAGGAGTAATGTAAAGTTAACAAATAAATAAAAATTGTTATACATACGTTATATGTTTATATAATAGAAGTATGTGTGCAAAAGTACATTATAAAATATGTGTGTATATATAACAATGCGTCAGTCAATTACAAAGTTACAATATTTCTACTAATTGAAATTGCGATTATATTTTGGTATAAAATTGTAAATAACTTTTAGCATGGTATGTTCTGTTTAAACGTTTATATGCCATTATTTCTTTAACTATTGGAGATTGTATGTAATAATTGTTTGGTTAAATCTTACCTCGAGTTGAAGTCAAAAATGCACGGTTCATCTGAAAAATTCACAATGCTAACACAAATCCAACAACTAATGATTAATATATTTACCTGAGAACTTTTGGGTAATACTTCTTTCTGGATAATTCTTCTGGATAATTCTGTTCTGTTCACAGGTGAAATGTGCTTCGTTCCGCCATGTTTCCCGCTAAAAATCGATCGTGAGAAATATCGATTATTTCGATAATCGTAGGAAGTAAATTGCGTGTTTCATCGTTGGGGCGCTGTAATCGCTTAATTCACACGAAATGATTGCAGTACAAAATAAAAGACTCTAAATCAAATAATACACAAAATTTATGAAAAATTCTTAAAACCGGAAGGAAAATTTTCACAAACTGATCAAAAATTATCATATTTTAGATTAAGACATAAGAAATTTTATTGTATTACACAACAAGATCATTATGTTTTGCCATTAAATATGTACAATTTTAATAAATTATTGTTGAGTTTAGTATTGGAATTGTTAAAATCTACACAGTATGAGGTTAAGAATCAACAAATGAGTAAAAAATGTTACAGTAAAAGTAAACGGATATTATATATATATAATAAGTTAGTCATATTACATGGTCACTATATTTGTATTGGTTAGAATTGAAATTATGTTTTAGTATAAAATTGTAATTAACTTTTAGTATGGTATGTTCTGTTTAAACGTTTATATGCCATTATTTCTCTAACTATTGGAGTTTGTATGTAATAATTGTTTGGTCAAATCTTACCTTGAGTTGAAGTCAGAAATGCACGGTTCATCTGAAAAATTCACAATGCTAACACAAATTCAACAACTAATGATTTATATATTTACCTGAGAACTTTTGGGTAATACTTCTTTCTGGATAATTCTTCCGGTTAATTCTGTTCTGTTTACAAATGTGGTGTGCTTCATTCCGCCATGTTTCCCGGTAAAAATTGATCGTGAGAAATATCGATAATCATAGGAAGTATATTGCGTGTTTCACCGTTGGGGCGCTGTAATCGCACAGTAATTTTTTTTTCGTTTCAAAACTTTTAATATACTCATTTTAATATACTTTAATATACTTTAGAATTCTTACAAAAGGGAAATTAATATTTTCCTGGCAATTTAGTTTTCTATCGATGCAGTCTTTTATCCACAGACGATGTATATTCATATATCTCGTTTGTGCTTTATGTAAAATTTGTATTTTTGTGCATATATGATTAAAGAAATAGATAGATAGTTTTTATTCTTTGACTATTACATACGTATGTTGTAATTGGGTTACGTGATATATTTTTACATTCTATACATATACACCATATGTATTTTTGTATCTTTAAATTTTTAATAAATACATAAATATCCACGTTCTAATAGTAACTCTTTTTTTAAATTAAATAAATAAATAGTAATTACCCTATTTTTAATTGACAATAATTAAATAAGTGAATAATGATGTTTCTTATTTTTTAAAGTACGTTACATTGAACTATCCTATTTAGCAATCCTATTTAAATAACAACGACTGCTTATAAAGCAAATATTGTGGCAAAATAATAAAGAGAATATTTAAATAAATGTCTTACTCCGGTTTTTTAGTATCCAAATTCGAAATCGCCTAGATTTCTATGGGTTTTTCACGAAGGATTTGCTCTTTACACTTTTCACGAAACTGCCATTTGCACTTGCGAGAATCGCAAGAATTCGTTACGATATACGTTCGATATCTCGCATGTAAACGATAAACGATAGTACATTGATGAAGGTGCATTTGCATTTGTATGCATGTGTATACACATTCAAAAAGCTGTGAAAAGAAATATTATGTCACTTGCTTCAAAAATTACTTTTACATTATGTTGTGCAACTTCAATAGGTTTGGTAGGTTATGTGCATTACATGCAAGAAGCTGAGAGGTAATTTCAAGCATTTTTATTATATTGTAAAAAGTATTTAGGTTAATAATGTCTCTGAAACCTCCTAAACCTTAGCATCGTTTAACATGGATGAACTATCAAATTACAATAAAATTATGTAAAAATATTCTTATTTTTTTAATTCGTTACTCTTAGCAATATATTTTTTTCAGTTAATAGATTAAAACTTAAATAAATTATCGAATTATTTAAAATAACTGTCTCTTTTCATGTCACACGAAATGAACACTTCAGTTCCTACAAATAAATTTCATTTTCTATTTAATTTTTCTGTATTAAAATATTGGTTTAAATTTTTAAACGAACTATTTGTTTTGCAATTAAAAAGTAAAGATTTCAGTACATTTAACCTGTATGTCGTAAATATAAATTATGTATGCTTTGATCCGAGAATTCGATCCATGTTACACGATAAAATTATGTTTTTGGATATGTTGGCTTTTGAAATAATTTCATATATTTACATATTTTTATAGAAAGGAACTTGAAATAGGTGTAAAACGCGATATTGAACGTCAAGAGCGCCATAAATTTCTAAATACTGTATTGTCACAAGAAAAGCAATTGAAATTAACAGATAAATTAATAGAAACTTCTTAAAAAAGGGGTATTTTTTAAACTGTAACTGTATAAATATTGTATGGTAATTGTAATACAAATCTTTATTATATTTCGATTATAATAATATTTCTACGTTCGTATAACGTTTCTCATTTAGCTTTGTATTTGAATATAGGTTAGGTAACACGAATCCAATGAACATAATGACCACAGAAGATCCAGCAGACCAATCAGGTAAAAATATTTAAAGTATCCTTAAACAAAATAATAAGAAGTTCATTTATCTTTGTATATTCTTCATTTACAGATTTAATTTGCGTAGAAGAAAGTCTTATGAGTTTAGAGAAACTAGATAGAGCATCGCCAGATTTATGGCCTGAACAAAGTAAGTGTATAATTATATAGCATGCTCTAAATGAGAATTATGACATATCATATATATATTAACGATTAATGAAGTTCCAGGTGTAAATGAATTTGTAGCTCAAAATTCACCTCAAACAGAACCATCATCTTGGGCTGCAGGTCTTACACCAGATGACATAAATCAATTGCATCGTAAGTTTATATTTGAAAATGAAATTTCATAAAATATGCTTTAAAATGGTAAAAATAGAGGAATTTTTATTTTAGATTTAGGTAATTTGTCAATGGGTGGTTTAATATCCGAGGTTAAAAAATTACACGATATGGCATATCAGTTAGGATTGGAAGAAGCAAAAGAGATGACCCGTGGAAAATATTTAAACATTTTCAAGCATAAATAACAGATATTTTCTGTATGTAAAAAAATAATAATACAACTTTTATTAAGGTATACAATAACAAGCTAATAATTTTTTAATGAACAGTTAACAATTTTCTAGAATCCATCTTGTGTATTTCTGTACATTCACAAAGACTGTTGGGAAGTTGCGATTCATGTTACAGTTGGAACCATATGATAAAATGCCTAACTGAAAATTATATTGGCACAATTGTAGTTTTATAAATATATAATTTAGTAGGAGTTCATAAAATAGTAAGTAAATATTATTATTACCAAAAAATATGTATTTCCTTGTTTGAATAAAAGGGGACTTCCATTATATCCTGAACATGGCACATCATTTCCTATTGTGCATAGTTCGGTAGCTAGCCCTTGGTTATAGTAATTCATGCATTCTTCACTTGATATAATCCTCATTTTCAGAAACTGTTGCTTACCCGATTCCACTTTAAACGTTGAAGACTTTGCAAGTACATTGTGTTTAATTCATTTTAATTGAGTAAATAATTCTCTTACCTTTTTGACGTTCCAACTTGCCCCATCCAACAAGAATAGAATTCATTCCTATATTTATATATCCATTCTTTAATAAGAGACATATAGGTTGCGCCGTTACTAATTATTTGGTATTAAAAAGATGATAATACATAGTCATTGATATATTTTTCACGTAAAAATTAAAGACTTTTTAATAATTACCAGTATATTGTATTGAGTCTTTTAATCGTAACATCGCTATATTATTTGTAAAAGTATCAGCTTGATAATGAGGATGTTTTATTACATAAGATATATCAATTTTTTGTGAAGTACAATCAGGATCAGTATCAATGTTGAACTCGCCAACAAGCACAGAATTCCTATTAAAATATTTAAAAGTCTGTTCGAACTTTTACTTAAAAAAAAATGAATGTACTCACAATTGATAATTACTAGACTTTGCAAGAGCGCAACTGGCAGTAGTTAATATCATGTGCTGATTCAAGATCACACCATTACAAGGATATTTTATTTCTCCTGTGTTACCTATAAGTTTGCAAAATTTTTCACATTTATATAGAAATAAATATTTTATCGTATTTTGTATTTTAGGCTTACTTTTAAATCCAATTCTAGCAACAAAAGGATACATTCCTATAGAATTAACATCACCATGAACGAAGCTTTTACCACAGTCTGAAATCAAATTCGGTTTCGTAAAAGATGCATCTTTTTCTGTGAAAAATGAGTTCATCATATTGCGCTCCATGTTGCAACACACTTTTGGTCTTATACTTTCGTACCCACAAATTGCTTGACGAAATCTAAATTATAATTTCTCTTAAATAATTTATTTATATTTTAATTTCTTATAAAGCGTTAATACATTCATTTACCTATGAATCGGAAGTAGATTGTAGCTCATTAAATTCGAAATGACAGGACAATATTCGACAAATGTGCACTTTTTATCATTTGGACAATTAATTAAATTAATCGGATATGTTTCAATTGTCTGTCTGTTCTGTGTTTGATGAGTGACACTTAGTATGAAGATGTAATAAACAAGTATTGATAGAGACAACATTTTTCTCAACTTTAATCGACTGACGTCGTTTGAAACATATCTGAAACTGATCTGTTTGGCAGATCCTATTTCGTAACATGCAATGTGACACAGATTTTATTACATTCGAAGCATTATTCATTCTTCCGGCGGAAGTCTCATTGTCATGCATAAAACGGTGTGCAAGTGCTTTTGTAGAAAATTTCGATGCTTTTTTTAAATATTATATAATGCTATTTCTATTAGAAAATAATTTTATTTGGAAACTTTATTTGAAAATATATTTTCTTAATCAATTTACTTATATTTTGAATAAATATCTTAAATATTTGATTTTAATGAATACTTTCGCTATCAGCACGCATGTATGAAGCTTACAATTAATTTAAATTTACTTTCAAACTATGAATATACATAATAAATGAATATACATACTTGCCTAAAACAAATAAATTTTAGACACGATTATTTATAATAAAACTATATTATACAAAAACAAAATGTGTAACACATATTGAAGTAAAATTTATTTGATCTTGCAGAATACTTTTTAAAGAATAACATATTATAATTACAAGTTAACTGAACTTGATTAAAATGATTATCTACAATATAAATGACGATTTTCATTAGACTTAATAGCTATTTCAACAATGTCTGTACTTCTTACAAAATCTACTGACACAATATTGGCTGTGTATTGCCAAATAGTGCTGTACCAGTTAGTTACATTTAAATTAACTTTATGCGCCATTTCTCGAAGATTTCTTAATCTATTAAAAAGAATATGTTTAAAATCTGAGGTCAATTCTGCCATTGCTGATCGAGGTATTATTGTGCTATTCCTGCAATGAAATTATGAGATTAGTTTTCTTTCAGTCTTGTACATAATATTTAAGATAAATCTATTTCAATTCTTTTTTTTTTCAATAGTATTTCAAATAGCATAAATATTAAATTTTTTAAAGTTTACCTATTACTAGTTTCAATTTTATACAAATACTGATACAGTTTCTCAGTACTCTTAACGTCTCCCCATTGATGTAACACGCAAGGCCATACGTTAGTACGACTTTTTACAATCTCCATATTCTCATAACCGATTATCAATCGTTTTCTAAAAAACCAAATCTCATTCAACGTGATATTCCATCCATAATTATTTGGCAAAAAATAATTTCGAAATTCATTTTCCAGATACGAGACCAACTTGTGATGAACTGATATTTTATCGAAACCTGTAAATTTGTTACGAAAATATAATTAGTTTAAGACATTATCAATGAAAAATTCGTGGATATGTAATTAAATAAGATTATATTTTATGACAATGATTAATGTTTAATTCATTACCAATAGGAAATTCACGAATATCCATTATCACGATTTCTTCGGTATTATCAAGAAACTTTTTCACTTGATCTATAACAGTTTTCAACGAAACTGAACGATAAAATGGCCCATGATTGGTCCACCATATCTCTTTGGTATCAGGATAGTATGCCACTCTGATGTCTAAATATCGTACGCCGTGTATTAACTGTCCTAGGATGTCTAAATCCTAAAAATTTGTTAATTTATTCTGATAACAAACATATTTAATACTTTACAGATTTTAATTCTATGTTTATTATATTACCTGTGTTACAGCCAAGTTTGAAATAATACTTGTTCTCTTGTCATTCTCATCATATATTGCAGAGTTGTGAGTTCCAGGCAGAAATATTTGTTTCATTTTTAAAGGACCGAGGATATCTTTCCTTTCTTTCATCCAATTTGGCTGAGTTTTGAGACATTCCATTTTTTTAATTTTTTTGTCTGTCAACCATGCTAATTCATACTCTAAAAGAATAGTTAGAATAACTAGAATAATTGTAGGCGAAACATCAGAAATATTTGTAATTTTGTTTTTCAAAAGTTCAGTTTTCATCCGTTTTTGTAATCTAATCTCTCAATTTTTTAAATGAATTAACTTGTGACTAGGATTTCTAATCTGACAGATATAAGAATATTTGAAGATTTCTTCTAAAGATTTCCAATGTATTATTCCATTACAGTGCAAATTAAGTTGTACTATATTAATATTTATATTTAAAATTGATAAATTTTTAGTAATTTTTATTTTAAATTGCTCAAACTCTTTTTCTTCATTTCTAAATAGTTGGAAGATGCAAAAATACACATAGAATGTATATAATATACAAAAATGTTTAAAGCAAAATATGATAACTCATAGTCTATTTATAATGATAGAAATTTCCAATTAAATTATAGGAATTAATGCAAAATTAATTGAAACATAGTCACTGACTTATGCATTTTTTCACGAAGGAAAGATTCGAGCTGGGTATGTATTCAGCCAGTACTCCTGTTTTTTGAAAACCACTACGACCATTTGGAATGACTCTATAAATTACACGTTGAACACCTGTAGAATCTTGTTCGAAGAGTGCAAGTTCATCTCCGGGCGTGATATTTACATTGTTCCAGTATATCTCTATCTCCCGAATTTTTGATCTCGAAATGGTTGGAGAAATAAGTATACCAATCCGGGACTGCCCTAAGTAATGGAAGTACGAGATTTTAGAAATTTTTTCAACGCTATTAGGTGGAATATACTTACAGTTTTCGGAGGAGGAGTTGCAAACTCTGACAGACGAAGTCTCGTTAATTGTCAACAATAAGAGAACTAGTGATATTCTCTCTATGAACTGTGTCCTTGCTTTCTCGTAATTGTGGGAAGTTGATGTAGTGATAGTCATTGTTCCTTGTCCTATATTAATATGATAATATTCATAAAAATAATCGATTTTTGTAACGAAATATAAAAGTAAATACACAATGTGCAAAAACATGTAAAATTTCATAAAAAATAAATAAAATTCGTTAAAATATTTAATAAATTCTGTTTAAGTTCTGTTCCTCTAATAATAACGATAAAAATTATGAGCAATCTAATTGTGATAAAACATAGATTTTAGTAGTCTGTTTTTAGTATACATACCTGCAAAAATTCAATTTTAAAAGTCGGTAAAATAGACTTTGCGCGTGACGTAAACCGTCGACACGCATGAACTGATTCCTGATGAGTGTACAAACGTATGATCAGGCAACGCTCTGGATCCTTTTATTACGCGAAAATTAATTATTATTATCAATCTAAACATACACTCTTGTCTAAATTTAAGATATTATTAGTTTTCTATATAAAATATCAGAGTTTATAACACGACATTAAAATATTGTACGTCTTCAAACTTTCCTTTTAGTAAAATCTATTTGATCTAGAGATTTTAACGAATTTAATGAATTAAATGTTTAATTAACTAGCTTTGCGATAGTTACAAATAGAACGAGGAAAGAATAAACAAATTAGAAGAAGAGAAAAAGGGAGAAGATAACAAGAAACTACGATTTGACTTATGCAACACGATTTTGCAATAAATATTCTTTCGTAATGAAAGATATTTCACGAATGGGTGTTGATCTATGTCTAATGATATTTTTAATTATGTTTTCTTTATACAAAAATTAGGACGTGTTTTAAGATATCAAGCTATGTATATTCATTTACTCGTAAGGAAAATAAGAAAGAATAATAGAAAAAGTTTTTCATACTACCAATTCATTACTGGTTGCGTAAATATGTTGATCTTGCCTTTCATAATGATATGGATTTTTCTCGTAGCACAGACGAGATATATGATATCCATATACTTTGTTTATGCTCATAGTATTGTTTCCTAAGAGGTAATTATGTCAAGGATAATTACAAAAGAAACGACTTCCAGTTTAAGATTTGTGAATAATTTTAATTCAAATTGAATGTAAAAAAAATGGCAAACAATTCTTAAAATATTAATTTGAGACATATATGATTCGTAATGTAAAAAATTATGTTGCTATTAAATAATTTACATTATTTAAATCAGTATTTCAACTACTGTACTAAGTTGATAATATCGCATGTGACAAGAAACAGGTAAAAAGATTAGATATCTTTTAAAACGTGGAATAGAGAAAGATACTGATTCACAGACGACGAATTTTCTTATATTTTATATTTATTGTTAATCAATAATTAAATGTTATATCTATTTCCTATGTGAAAACATATTAAACATTCATTTGTTATTCAAAATTCTTTTTGCGACTTGTCGGTAAATGTATGCAGGTCAATTGTCAACTGTCGGTAAATATATACAGGTTAATTATTTTACCGCAGACCTCAGACACAGACAAGGTATAAGAATAGACCTTGCATTCAATATCACATCCTGTTTTACCGATTTAGGCAGATTATGCACCGCAGCACTACTAGTGATGAGAATTAAAATAAAAAAATATGGACATTGTTGTCAAGTGCTTTGAGAGATATTTTTGAATCAAACGTAGTGATACTTCATCAATGAAGAAATATAACAGCGATTAACGAAAACTAAGGTAAAAAATTCATTATATATTTGATTATTTACATGCACTTAAAAAAGTATTAGAAAAAATTGATAGAAATATATCTTTAAAGGTATTCTCAACGGTGAAATAAGCAATATAGTTTCTACGATTTTCGAATGTAATCGATGTTTTTCGATCGATTTGTAAGCGGGAAGCATGGCGGAATGAAACTCACTTCGTCCGTAAAGAAGAAAGCATTACCTAGACAAATCGTCCAGAAAGAAGCTCTCAGGTAAAAATTTAAATCATTAATTGTTGGATTTGTGCTTATATTGTGAATTTTTCAGATAAAACGTGCATTTTTGGCTCTAAAGGTAAGATTTAACCAAACAATTATTACACACAATATCCAACAATCAAAGAAATAATGGCATATAAAAATTTAAACAGAAGATACCATGCTAAAAGTTATTCAAAATTTTATACCAAAACATAATTTCAATTCTAACCGATAAAAATATAGTGACCATGTAATATGACTAACATATTATATATATCTATAATATTCTTTTACATTTACTGTAACATTTTTTACTCATTTGTTGATTCTTTAACCTCATATTGTGTAGATTTTAACAATTCCAATACTAAACTCAACAATAATTTATTAAAATTGTACATATTTAATGGCATAAATAATAATCCTATTGCATAATACAATAAAATTTATTATGTCTTAATCTAAAATATTGACAATCTTTGATTAAGTTTGTGAATATTTTCGTTCCGGTTTTTAGCATTTCTGATAAATTTTGTGTATTATTTGATTTAGGGTCTTTATTTTTTATTGCAATCATTTCATGTGAAATGTGCCATTACAGCGCCCCAACGGTGAAATACGCAATTTACTTCCTACGATTATCGAAATAATCGATATTTCTCACGATCGGATTTTTACCGGGAAACATGGCGGAACGAAGCACATTTCACCTGTGAACAGAACAGAATTATCCAGAAGAATTATCCAGAAAGAAGTATTACCCAAAAGTTCTCAGGTAAATATATAAATCATTAGTTGTTGAATTTGTGTTAGCATTGTGAATTTTTCAGATGAACCGTGCATTTCTGACTTCAACTCAAGGTAAGATTTGACCAAACAGTTATTACATACAAACTCCAATAGTTAGAGAAATAATGGCATATAAACGTTTAAACAGAACATACCATACTAAAAGTTAATTACAATTTTATACTAAAACATAATTTCAATTCTAACCAATACAAATATAGTGACCATGTAATATGACTAACTTATTATATATATATAATATCCGTTTACTTTTACTGTAACATTTTTTACTCATTTGTTGATTCTTAACCTCATACTGTGTAGATTTTAACAATTCCAATACTAAACTCAACAATAATTTATTAAAATTGTACATATTTAATGGCAAAACATAATGATCTTGTTGTGTAATACAATAAAATTTCTTATGTCTTAATCTAAAATATGATAATTTTTGATCAGTTTGTGAAAATTTTCCTTCCGGTTTTAAGAATTTTTCATAAATTTTGTGTATTATTTGATTTAGAGTCTTTTATTTTGTACTGCAATCATTTCGTGTGAATTAAGCGATTACAGCGCCCCAACGATGAAACACGCAATTTACTTCCTACGATTATCGAAATAATCGATATTTCTCACGATCGATTTTTAGCGGGAAACATGGCGGAACGAAGCACATTTCACCTGTGAACAGAACAGAATTATCCAGAAGAATTATCCAGAAAGAAGTATTACCCAAAAGTTCTCAGGTAAATATATTAATCATTAGTTGTTGGATTTGTGTTAGCATTGTGAATTTTTCAGATGAACCGTGCATTTTTGACTTCAACTCGAGGTAAGATTTAACCAAACAATTATTACATACAATCTCCAATAGTTAAAGAAATAATGGCATATAAACGTTTAAACAGAACATACCATGCTAAAAGTTATTTACAATTTTATACCAAAATATAATCGCAATTTCAATTAGTAGAAATATTGTAACTTTGTAATTGACTGACGCATTGTTATATATACACACATATTTTATAATGTACTTTTGCACACATACTTCTATTATATAAACATATAACGTATGTATAACAATTTTTATTTATTTGTTAACTTTACATTACTCCTTAATTTCATAATTCTGCGTAATTCTTAACAATTACAATAAATTCAATAATAATTTATAAAAAATGTACGTATTTAATAGTTAAACTAATAATTTTAGTTCGTAATATATGAAATTTTCCAGTTCTCAAACAAAGTAAAGCGTAGAAGACTTTGGAGCACAAAATTCGAAGTAAAAAACAACAACAGGAACACAGTATTTATGTTCGTCTTACTTATCGTGCCTATTCGGACCAGATCACCCCACCCCCTACTACTTTCTCAAATGCAGGATATGAATGAAATGAACAATCAAATCAAATGTGATATGAACAATCTGATGAACTTTCACGGAAAATTGGTAACATTTTATTCACTCCAAGTAACATTTGCTATATAATTTACATATATTTAAAATACAATTCGCAATACGTAATTTCGTAATTATATAAAGATATAAGGATGAAAATGGAAAAGATTAAATAAATTAATATTTTATTTTGAATATGGAGATCATAGTAGCTTAATGGTATATACTTGCAAATGGATATATATTCTTGTATCAGATTATTAAATCCAAAATTTTCGTACTTTACTGTACTATATTTTGCTAGAATAGACCTTTTGCGAGCGCTGACGCCATGATTTTTTAAATACATTTAGCTATAAATTTTAATTCGTGCAATCATTTTCGAATATTTATATTACGTGACGCGGCATCTTACTATTCTCATTCAGAATACAATTTCTGCAAGTATTGAGAAATACTTTGTAATTTCCAGCTAATATTTTTAGCGCATATTCAAGTTTATAATCATTTTCTGGAAAAACAGTAATATTTTCTAAATGGACGTACTCTATGCCCTTCTTTTTCTAATTAGAAAATTATTTGTTTTCAGAAAATTTTTGTGACCACGCGCAATGTGGTCGATAGAGTCAGTGTTTGTTGCGCAATATGTTAATGTTTTTCTGAGCAAAATGGCTCTCATTAAATTAGATTATTAATTTATTTAAATTATAATTCCAGAAGTTAGAGTCAGTGAGTTCGCCGATTGCATCTTAAACGCGTGCATTGATAGTCTTTTATTTTTTCTTTTTTTATATTTTCTTTGTTCAACATTCTTTTTCGGTATATTAGTGTCAGTGCTCAAGAGGATAAGGCCTCTACAGGAGGTCATAATCGTAAGTAATTTTATATATTCTACTTTAGTTTACTCAAATTTCCGAATTTGATAACATAGTATAATGTTTGACGTTTTGTTACAGACGCTTAACAGCATCAACTTTCTGGGATATTTTGAGGAAAATTCAACGCTAGCTCCAAAGCCAAGAATGTAAGAATCTTTTATTATCTCGAACTTGAGATTCATCTTTGCATTTAAATACAAATTCTAATGTTTTATGTATGTTTTTACAGATTCTCTACAGTTTTCAATTCCCCTAGTCCCCTGAGAATTTTACGATGCTTCAGAAACAAAAAATGTAAGTACTTTAGCACATTGTGAATTAATTCTATTCTCTAGAGTACTCTTTCCATTGAAAATTATAATGTAAAATCTCTTACAATGTAAAATTATAACTATAAAATAAAAACATTTCAAACTATTAGAGTGTTTATCAGTATTAAATTTTTTGTCATTATTGAAATTTAAATTTCTGCAAATAAGACTGTGCCTTTGTGCTTTTCAAGAAATTTTTTATTGGCGTTCATTTCCACCATGGGATTCTCAGTGGTATCTGCTCGATGAGGATCTTCACAACGACTTTCCTTGGTCCAGTGCAGCATCGATGACAACGTTCTTCGCATCTATCGCGTGAGTCGCATGCATTTATGTCCCTCCGGTCATTCAATCATGTCGTAGGACGAAAGGTCCGAATCGGCACGGGTGACTGGTTGTATACGTAGAAATTTTTGATGAGCATAGTGACCGCGGGTATTTTTCATATTTCTTTCAAGTTTTTCATGTATTAGATCAGGATAGGGCTTCTTGCACATCGCGATTCTAACAATGAGTTTGAATATATATAGTTACAGCAATTACGTGTAAAATCAAAATATATTCAGTATAAATGTTTGCAAAAGCATCCATATCCATATGAATAGACAAATTATAAATGATTCTTATTAAAATGATTTCGTTTAAGCATTTCGTAGCAGAGAAGACGGATACCATCCGACTTCGTTGCTATGAACGATGCAGTTATTAATTATTGATATATTAGTAATATATTTTGTTATAGTAATTACTAATTAATGTAATACTTAATAACTTTCAAGTTCATCTTCCATTTTATAATATATAACTTTTATATCAAACGATTTAATTAGTTTAATTTTATAATTATGAACTTCAATGCAATTTGAAATATATGATAGATTAGAACTCCTTCCATAGAAAGATATATAAAATTTTATGTGCAAGAAGGTACTTCGCGACAGGTAGATTTTTGAATCAAGGCAACAAATTTAAACACAGCTTTTGTATTTTCGAAAATGTGCTTTGATGAAGAAACCGCCTGAGATTGTTTCTGTTAATATTTAATGTAGAGTCAATTGTTTGATTTGGATTGTTTTAGTTAACTGTTAGATTTCATATCTTTTTTAATAAATTCAATTCTTTGTTTTTATTCTCTTTATTCTCATGCAATTTCAATAATTTCTGAAAGCCCAGAGTCATTACAGTTTGAAATAAAATAATGCAATAGTCCGTTAGATGTAAATTACATAAACTAATTATTTTTTTAGTTCAGGATTTTCAGGTTTAACCCCTTCCGTGTTCATTGTCAGGATCTCACTCACGTGCCCAGGTGCTACTTGGGTGGGTGAAAGACATTGGGCACGATGACCATAGTTTGTAATTTTATAAAAAATTTCTCAGCGACTGACAGTGTGTTAGCGTATCGTGCACGACGTATTTTCCGCATATGTATGTGTGGTTAGGATGTGGAATTGCGTCGTTTTTATTCTTCCATTCATTATAAGTTGAAATATCGAAAACATTTATGCACTGATTTGAAGTATGAATTTATTGTATAATAATACTCATTAAATACTCTACAATTATGTTATTAATTATACGATCAGTTATAATAATGATTCCAAGTCAATTTGCACATGTAGTTTCTATAGAAATTATATATATATATATATAAGTTATTAATATTAGCTGTAAATATAAAGGTGTTTTAATCACGTTATACGCAATGGTCGCTAGCTGCTGTCAGTCGATTTCAGGAAAATGGTACGTAAATTAGAGTGTGAAAGTTGTGTGTTAAGCTCGGGTGTCGGAGGCGTCCCG